ACTTTTTTCACACCACCTCCCGCCTGGGGCGGGGATCCGACAGTTCGGAGTGTGACCCCTCATCGCTGATACTTTATTATCGCTGGGCACGCGGGGGTCACGGGGGTTTTTTCTTTACGTGTGCTTTACAAGTGCGAGGATGTAGAGACCAGGGCGGGCCGCCTCCAGGTCCGTCCACTCTGCTTCTTCGGTCTTTTCTAGGGCCCGCTTCCACCCCGCATAGTTTTTCCCCGCTCTCATAAGAGACACACTGTCAAGTCCGCAGTTTCTGTTCTATACTCTCGCGGTTGTTTAAGGGGTAACAGGGCGGGGCCAAGGCAGGGGGCGGGGCTGGGCGGGGCGGGGCCGCGCAGGCGTAGTCCTCTGGCTCGCGGGCCCCGCTCGGGTGTAGGGAGCGTGCACCAGCGTGCGCACCCCCTCGGGTGCGTGGAAATGGAGGCAGAGAGGGCTCGCCCCCGTTGTGCTGGCGACCGTCACCTTTAAGTCCGGGGATGGAAATAGCGAAGAGGAGCTTTGAACCCCTCGCCCGGCCGGGTAGTGCAGCTGTCACCCGGCCCGCCCTAGCGCCATGCCAAATCGGGGGCTCCTTCCGATCAGTGCCCCAGCCTGCGCCCCCCTCTCCGGGCGCGGGCCGCCCGGACAGCCGCGCGGCCACTCCGAACCTCGCGGGTCACAGCCTCCTACTGATGAGGGTTTTGGAGATGGAAGCGCCCAAGTTGCGCTCTTTGCCAAGTCAGCGCCCACTGTGGCCTTGGACAGACACTTCGGCCTCCAAGCCACCCGCTCTGGGAGCTCCAAAGAGAGGGCGAGGCCCGTTCTACCCCTTCCCAAGACGGGTTTGAGCCTGACATCTTGACACCCGTCCTCGTCCTGATGCCAGCAGCTTGCAAATGGGTGATGCTGGAGCGCTGGAGGCGAGTGTCACAGACCTTTCCCCGGTGTTCCCTCAAGGTTTGTGTGATTTCTCTATAGTATAGAGTCTATAACAAAACGAAGAATTCCACGATTCTCCACTATTTCCCAATGTCCAGGTTCTAGGCATCTTTCAAGACCCGGCTCAGACTCGCCTGCTCCACACTTTCCTTTCTCTCTTCATCTGAACCTGTCTTACTGTCACCTAGGCTTCCCTTATTAAGGGAATAGATCCACTTAGAGACTAAATCTGCTCAAGTATAATCAAGACCTAAATCCTCTCCTTATCATATCCGCTGCTGCTGCTGCAGCCAGGCCAAGCCCTGGGTTGTAGTAGATGTGCTGTACACATGTGAGTGCAATAGATTCACTAAATCTCCCTGCCTAGTGGTTCTCAAAGTATGGTCCCTGGGCAGCAGAGCTTGTTAGACCTGCAAATTCATGTGCTCCACCCAGACCTCCTGAATCAGAAACTGGGAGTTGGGCTCAGTCGTCTGTGTTTTAACAGGCCCTCTACTTAATACTGATGCACACATAAGTTTGAGACCCACTGCTCTAACTTAAACATGGAAAGCAATTTTTCTTTTAAGTCTCAAGGTCTCTGGTGTAGTAATGACAATAATACACTCTGGCCTGGCTGGTGTGGCTCAATGGTTGAGTGTCGACCTCTGAACCAAGAGGTCATGATTCTGTTCCCAGTCAGTGCACATGCCCAGGTTTTGGGCTCCATGCAGGAGGCAGCAAATCAATGATCAATGATTCTCAACATTGATGTTTCTATCTCTCCCTCTCCCTTTCTGATATCAATGGAAATTTTTTTTTAAAGAATGCACTCTGTGAAAACTAAGTTCTTTGAGTGCACAGACTGTCTTTCTTGTCTTTGAAACCTTCTGTTCCCCCCATGTGTGTTGGAATCCTCTGCAGAGTTATTTCAGTCTGGAATTCTTGGTATTACCACCACCTTCCTCTATATCTCTTACCCCCAAGAAATTCTGACTCACTGGGTTTGGGGTAGGGTCCTGGGAAGTGAGATTTGGAAAAACTACTCACTAAGAACCTATTCCCAACAGATTGCTGAAAGTTTGATAGCGGGATTAACCATGGCCTAGCTGGGTGTTAGTAGTAGATTATAGTAGTGGTCCCAATGAATCACTCCTGATGTGTAGACCTGTCCTATGGTATCCACTCCCTTGTGTAGACCTGTCCCACATTGACTGTGGGCTTGGCCAAATGACTTGCTATTAGCCAATTAGTGGGGCATCACAAACCTGATCTGATAAGTGCTTGCTCGTTGGGACTTGCTATAATGTGTCTGCTGTAATGTGTTTGCTGTATGACTTATGAATATTTCATTCTGCTGTAGAAAATAGGAGAAACTGAAATATACACACAATTTGCTTATGAGACATGTTACACATAAAATAAATGGATATGTGTTTAAAAAGGATGGAAAAAATGAAAGTGCTATTTTAGATAGAAAGAGGTAGACCAAGTGAACTTTAAATACTAATAAGGCATGAATTGTACTACTTCTAGACTGACAACAATGTCATCCCTAAATTGGCCACCTACTAGTGACACCCATTATAGCCCCATTATGGCCTCAGGTAGTCTCCGTACAAGATAAACCCCTAGCTACTCAGCCAGCTAATGACCAGACACAGTCATGACCAGACATACTTGTCCTACATCTCTCTGACAGAAGAGATGCATGTTGGTTCCTGGCTCCTTTAATCTGCTAACCCCCCTCACTCACTCTTCACACTGGTCCTTGGAACTACCCCATCTGCAGAGAAGACTGGCCCGGCAGAGAGGGTTAGGACATACGAACATTGCATAAAACCAAATGTAGGTACTATGGTCCTTCCAGTCTGCTTGTACCCCATCTAAGCACGTTTATCTACCACATCTCTTTCCTGTTGCTTCTCACTCTGTTCTAAACTGGTTGATAAACTAGATAGCCGTTGCTGCTCTTTGAGTGAATGTGCTATGCCAGACTTGGTGGCTTAGGTAGCCAATTTATTTTGCTCTTGATTTTGTGGCTCAGAAATTGGGAAGGGCTTGCTTGGCCAGTTTATTGTTTGAGTCTCTTATCAGATGTCAGCTGCAGCTGCTGTCATTTGAAGGCTTATCTGGGCTGGACATCCAAGATGGCACACTCTGTGGCTGACAGTTGTCGCTGGCTGTTGGCTCTCTGGAAGCTCAGCTGGGACTATGAACCAGAGCCTTCACAATCCCTCCAGCATGGCAGACTTCTCACATGGCATCTGGCTTCCCTCAGAGTGAGTGTCTGAAAGTACCAGACTCATGGCCTTTTGAGACTTATGCTAAGAAGTCGTGCTGCATCACTTACACTTTATTCTACTAGCTACCGGCAAGCCACAAAAGCCATCTCAGATTCAAAAGAAGGGAATGTAGAGCCCTCACCTCCCCCCAGTTGGGGACATGTTTTAAAGCTGCTCAATTTCATACTCCATGGGCTCATATTTATCTGAACATCAACATACCTATAGGCAACAAGACTGTGACTGCCCACAACCAACATAAAAAGTGCATATACACATATAATACCCACACACGTGCATGCATGAACACACACCTATATGACTTTTTCAGGGTAGTATTTTGTAACTTTTTCCCCTTCCAGGCTTCCCATCATATTTGAGGTTGGGAGGGAGATTCATCAAGGTAAATATAAATAATAGGGCTATCCAATGCCTTCTGTTCAAACTTTAAACTCAGATTTTTAGTGAGGCATTCAAATCATTCATCTACTTTTAAAAAATGACTATCTTTGAGCCCAGCAGAAAGGTCAGTAGAAGGATTTTGAATGTTCCTATTTGTTTTGGAAGAAAAATAAGGAATCCATTCTGACTTTCTGAACACCTTTTCAGAGAGACTTATTAAATCAGCTAGAAGGGAACAACCTAGGAGAAGGTAAATTTGAGCAACAACCCCCAAAAAGTACAGGAATTGGACACGCCGGGTACTTCTGAAGGTAGAAATATAATTGAGCTAAAAAAAAAAGAGAGAGAGAGAGAAGACCTAGGTGAAAAACTTTAAGGGAGCAGTTATGAAGCCAGCTTTCCTTGTACATCTGATGCAGCTGGGAGGTTGCCACCTCCTTGTCCCAGCAGAAGTCTAGAAGTTTACTAGTGGAGACACTAGATTCAAAGGCAGGAGAAACACCAGAGGGAAGGGAGGTGCACCAAAAACAAGGAGATGGAGGGAGTGCCTCATTCTGACTCATGGATCCCTTGTCACGCTTCTGCTTTGCCTCAAAAACACAGGTAGCCATACTATTGGGGGATTTCCCTCTGAGCACCCACTGAAAGAGCTCAGCCAGACCACCCGACAATGAAACCATCCGTTAACTAGCTCTGCCACGCACAATTTCCAAACAGCTTTTTGTTTTCTCACTCTTAAATACAAAGTATGAGCCAGGAGCCCAAAATCACTAGTAAGTTGAAGAAAGCCTTCAAGATGGCAAGACAGAACCAAAATAGCTAGCATTTCTTTAATAGGGGGATCTCTGAGGATATAGGGAGCAAAATAAATGTTTGAAAAGGCATCACAATATCTTTGCAAAATAAGGAGAGATACTACATCTATGGAATAATAGGAATCTACAAAAGTAAGAACATCCAGAAAACAAAAATAATATTACTTGAAAATTAAAAATATGACAAAGTAAAAAATGTTTCAAAAGGATCAGAAGATAACATTGAGAAAAAATTTATTTAAAAGTAGATGGTAAATAATATAACAAATATAAAATAGAAGATAAATGACAAAATTAAAGACTCAGGTCAGGAGGTACAAGAGAGTTAAAGAAGATATAATAGTTTTGCAATATAAGGGAGAAAATTGTCAAAGAAATGTCTGAAGGAAAGTTCCCAAAAAGAAGGTCATTTGCTCCAGCAGCAAAGTCAGTGGCTCTCAAGGGACATTCAATAAAAAGAATCCCATTTCACAATGGCTTCAGACATCTCAACAGCAACACTGGACACCAGAAGACAATGGAGAAGCAGCTTTAAAATTCTGAGGAAAACTATTCCATCTAGAATTCTATATCTAGCAATCTGGTGTGAGGGTAGAGTATAACCTCAGATATTGAAGTCTCAAAATATTTACATTTCATATATCATTATCAGGAAGTAACTGTAAGATGTATCCCATTAAATTGAAGGATTAAGCCAGGAAATGGGAAGTCACAGGACAACTAGAGAGTGTCCAATCCAAATGGGAGCAAGGCGACGGAAGGTTTGGGGAGGTGTGCCTCTAATACAGAGATGGGTTTAATAGATTTTTTTGATGTATTTTTGAAGTATTGAAAGCAAGGTTACACTTCTGAGGGAAAGTTGGAGGATGGATTGGTGGTAGGTACTTTGAAAATTAAGCAAACAAAAACTAAGGCAATTATTAACGCTAGTAAGTAAAATTATATTAGGGGGGAAGTATATGAAATTAAAAGGTCACAGGTAAATAGTATTTACAAGATGATAATAATACAGAATGCTGAATTAACCAAAAATTATGCTATGTCTAAACTCGGCAGATGGGGAGGGGAAGTGTCTTAGTCAACTTGGGCTGTCGTATCAAAATACCGTAGACTGCATGACTTAAACAACGGGAATGTATTTCTCACAGGTCTGGAGGCTAGAAGTCCAGGATAGATTTCAAGGTAGATTTCATTCTGAGACCTCTTCTCCTGGCTTGTAGGCAGCTGCCATCTCTCTATGTGCTCACATGACCTATTCTTTGTATAAGTGGAGAGAGAGAAAGAGAGAGAGAGAGAGAGAGAGAGAGAGAGAGAGAGAGAGAGAGAAAACTTTCTGGTGTCTCTTCTTTTATAAGGGCACAAATCCCATCATGAGGGCCATACCCTCATGACTTCAACTAAACCTAATTACCTTCCCAAAACCCTATCTCTAAAAAGTGACACAATTTGTGGAGGAGGGACATTCAGTCCATAGCAAGAAGCGTGTGTGTGTGTGTGCGTGCGTGTGTGTGTGTGTGTGTGTGTGTGTGTGTGTTTATGTATATAGTGTTGTAGAGCAAGAAAGTGGGAGTAAGAAAGCTACATTCTTGTCTTTCATAGTAAGCATGCCAAGTAGGGTCACAACAGGACACAGATGGTAGTACACTCTAAATGGGATAATTTGAGGATACTTTCAATACTTCAAAAATACATAAAAAAGTCCATTAACAAAAAAACAATTTTTTTCTCTTTTTTATTTATATATTTTTAAATTTATCTTTATTGTTGAAAGTATTTCAGATGTTCCCCCTTTTTTCCCCCATTGATCCCCTCCACCCTGCACCCGCCCCTCCCAGGCCTTCACCACACTATAATCTGTGTCTCTGGCTATGCATATCCTGTATAATAAAAGCCTACTATGCAAATCCACCAAACAGCAGAACAACTGGTGGAATGACCGGTCGCTATGATGCGCACTGACCACCAGGGGACAGACGCTCAACGCAGGAGCTGCCCGCAGGCCCCAGGCCAGCCAAGGCGGGTGCCAGTGGAGGGAGGCGACCGGTGGTGGCCCAGGCGATCAGGGGGCGGGGCTGGAGAGTGGGCGGCACCAGGCTGGCCAAGGCGGGTGCCATCAGGGGCCCCCGATGGCCCCCTGGTCGCCCCTACAGATTGTCCCTGATTGCCGGCTGTGGGGCGTGGCTACAGTGTTTTGGCCAGGTTCAAGCCTCAGACTAATGAAAGGACAGGGTCCTCTCATTGCCACGTGCAAGTCCCAGCTGGAGGGCAGGGCCCTCCCAGCACAATCATAGCCAACGGCTGTGGTTGTAAGCTTGAACCTATGGTCTGAACACGTAGCCCCACGTGCCTTGTGATAGAGTTCGGGTGCATGTAGTTAAGTGAGGTTGAAACTCACAAGAATGCTGTAAACAACTTGATCACGCCCCTACTTTGCCTCGTGGCACCTGCTATAAAATAAAGACATGGCTTGTGGGCGCCAGCGCTGTCTCCTGATCAGGGAGCAGCGTTCCACTGAGACCCAGCTTTCATTCTCTTGTCTGTCTTTTCTCAATCCTTTCATCCCCTGCCACTCAGGGTCACTGAACCAGGCTGAGCTGGCATGGCACATAAGGCGCCCTGGGGCTGAGTATGCCATGGCCGTGCCAGCTTCCCACAGCCGGCCAGGCCTAGGGACCCTACCCGTGCATGAATTTCATGCATTGGGCCTCTAGTATGCATATAAATTCACCTATTACTCTCCCCTTGCTCCCCCCCCCCCACTTCCCTCTGAAATTTGCAAAAGGTGTGAAAGTAGGGAAGCCACAAGAGATAGTACAGTAACATGACTTAATAGCAATTGCACTGTCACCAACCTTAGACCCAAAGGGGTAAGAGTGGAGTGCATGGGGACCACAATCTAGAATGAGAGTCAAATAGAGTAGCCCTTCTTGAGGGAATCAGGGACTTCCAGTTGAAGACACAGCCAGCTAGAGTAGATCATCAAAGAGGAAGCTACAGGGGTAAATATTCTAATCAATCTCTCTCTCCGCCCCCATTTCTGTCTGTGTCTCCTCTTCTCTTCTCTCCTCTCTCTTCTCTCTTCTGTCTCCTCTCCTCTCCAGGTTCTCCCAACTAGAGAACAACTCAATTGAAAGCCAAAGGGACCATTCATAAACCCATTGATGTTGTTCATACAGGTGAGTTTCTCTGAACAGAAAACACAGAAGAGGGTAGAGAGTAGTTCCAAGGGACAAATGGAAAATATCCAACACAATAAGAACACACACAAAAATGAAGAAACAATAGGCATAATCCTATTATGTACTCAGAAGAAGCTTCTAAAAGAGTTGAAAATAATTGCCTTTCTGAACTAACAATTGGAAATAGGAAGACACTGTTGGGAACTGCTTTTTTATGTTATATGCTTTGGAGAACTATTTGACTTTATTTATTTATTTATTTATTTATTTATTTATTTTTAATATATTTTTATTGATTTCAGAGAGGAAGGGAGAGGGAGAGAGAGATAGAAACATCAATGATGAGAAAGAATCATTGATTGGCTGCCTCCTGCATGCCCCCTACTAGGGTGGAGCCTGCAACCCTGGAATGTGCCCTTGACTGGAATCGAGCCCGGGACCCTTCAGTCCGCAGGCCGACGCTCTATCCACTGAGCCAAACCGGGTAGGGCAACTATTTGACTTTTATAACAAAACTAGAGGCCCGGTGCACAAAATTCATGCACGGGTAGGGTCCCTAGTCTGGCCAGCGGTCAGGGCCGATCTGTGGGGCAACCAGCAGGGCAATTGGGGGGCTCTTGCTGGCACCTGCCTTGGCCAGCCTGGCACTGCCCGCTTGCCGGCCCCACCCCCCTGCCACCACCCACTTGCCAGCCAGCCCCACCCCCGCCATTGCCACCAGTCGCCTCCCTCTGCAGGGTGACTGGGGGGGTGATCAGGGGGCCCATGCTGGCCCCTGCCTTGGCTGGCCTGTGGTCTGCAGGCTGGGGGAAGCTCCTGCGTTGAGCATCTGCCCCCTGATGGTCAGTGTGCAATCGTTCCACTGGTTGTTCCGCTACTTGGTCGATTTGCATATTAGGCTTTTATTATATAGAATACAATGTTGATGGAAATAATTTTTAAGTGCTCTTTGGATTTGCAATGAGAAATCATTTATAATCTTTTGACATGCAATATCAGTTAAGTGCTGGGAGCGGAGGTCAGATTATAGAGGGTTGAGAAGAGAAGCTGAGTGGGAGATGAAATTTAAAAGACAGCCAGCTGTTGTTATTCAAACGTTTAGTTAAAGTCACTTGGTTTAGATAGATCAGAGGTGTTGTTTCATATGAACTGTGTTTTTGTTTTTTTAAAAATATATTTTATTAATTTTTTACAGAGAGAAGGGGAAAGAGATAGAGAGTTAGAAACATCGATAAGAGAGAAACATCGATCAGCTGCCTCTTGCACGCCCCCCACTGGGGATGCGCCCGCAACCAAGGTACATGCCCTTGACTGGAATCGAACCTGGGACCTTTGAGTCCGCAGGCTGACACTCTATCCACTGAGCCAAACCGGTTAGGGCTGAACTGTGTTTTAATGAGCTCCGCATACTGCTGCTTTGGTTCCACATGTATTATCCATGTTCGTGCACAGTTTTAGGATTCAGAACATCATTTTGTGCTTGTAATTATTAAAATGGTTTCTGGCTGTTATTTCTTAACCTGTCCCCAAAATATCATCTTGCCTCTGACACCCATTTCTCTTGCTGTATTTCTTTTGTATACCTTCCTAACAGAAAATCAAAGTTTGAACTATCTCTGACCTCCTCTTTTACTTCCTTCTTGTCCTTGCCAAATGCTATGCATTTCTGTCCATTAAATGTTTTTAATTTTTATTTCCTCCTTCCATCCGGCTGAGCCTGACAGAGTTTAAGCCATCAGGATTTGTTGGCTGTCACTATGGAGTAACTACCTCTCCATGCCTCTAAACTCTATCTCCAGTAGCTCTCCTTAGTAGTTAATGAACTTCATGATATTATTAGAAACTGCTTTTCCAGCCACATCTCTTATTACTTCCCCTTTCTTTAGAGAAACATGACTCCCTAAGTGCTCCCCAAGACTCCCACTCTTCACACCTGTGTTCACATTGTCACCTTTGCTTGGTGCACCTTCATCCTCATGTTCTCTACATGACCAATCTTTCCCATTTTTCAGGGCCCAGCTCAAATGTCTTCTCATATCCATGAAGATCTGAGTTCTTTTCCTGAACCTTTTCCTTGTGTTCTAGCACATAGTATGCCTCAATTATAAGCAATTTGAAGGAAGCTTCCCTGCCCAATTCATCTTTGTTTTCCCTTAGCAGCTAGCAAAGTATCCTGTACATAGACACACTCAATACATTTGTTGAATTTTTAAATTAAGTAGCCAGTCAATATTTTTCCTTTTTATTGAGGTTTAATTGGCATACAAAAAAAACTGGACATAATCATTTGTAAGTTCGGACATTTGTATACATTTGTGATACCATCACCAAAATCAATGTAAAAAATATATCCATCACTTCCCAAAGTTTCCTTGTGTCCCTTTGTTTTGTTTTGGTGAGAACATTTAACATGAGATCTACCTTCTTAACAAATTTTAAGCACACAATACTTTATTGTTAATTACAGGTGCTATATTGTTCAACAGATCTCTGAAACTTACTCATCTTATATAACTACTAGAGGCCCGGTGCACAAAATTTGTGCACGAGTGGGGTCTCTAGGCCTGGCCGGCGATCAGGGCCGATCGGGGCCTTCCAGCTGCCAGCCGGGGCCTTCCTTCATTCCATGCTGCCCCCTGGTGGTCAGTGCATGTCATAGTGAGCAGTTGAACTCCCGGTTGGTCGAACTCCTGAGGGGACAATTTGCATATTAGCCTTTTATTAGATAGGATAACTTTATACCATTGAACAACTCTCCTAATTCTCTCTTCCAACCCCCTAGTAACCACCATTCTGCTCATCAATATTTGATTTTATGATATACTGTTATTTGAAAGACAAAAAAGAGCAGTAACCTTAATGAACTGTCATCATAGTACTATCTAATTTTGTCCCAGGTGCCAGCAAGATTTAAAAAATATGATTGTTAAGGAAAAGATCCGGGGACTGAAAAGTCCTATTAAAATTGAGAAGCTGCCCTAGCTAGTTTAGCTCAGTGGATAGAGTGTCAGCCTGCATACTGAAGCGTCCCAGGTTCAGTTCTAGTCAAGGGCACATGCCCAGGTTGCAGGCTCAACCCCCAGTAGGGGGCGTGCAGGAAGCAGCCGATCAATGATTCTCTTCCAGCATTGATGTTTCTATTTTTCTCTCTCTCTCCCTTCCTCTCTGAAATCAATAAAAATATTTTTTAAAAATTGAGAAGCCATAACCCAATATTGTACCCATCATGTAAGTAAAGGTTAAGAACAGAGGTATAGGAGGCAGAGTAACCTGGGCTGAAATCTTGACACTGCCCTTTACCAGCTGCATATTTTTAGACCAATTAACCTCCTGTGTCTCCTTTCCTCAATTTCCTTCTTGGAAAAAATCAGACAATAATGGTACCTAAAAGCACTCATTAACTTTGGAATCAGACAGAATTGGGGAGTTATTATTTAAAAATGATGAGAGAACACTTCCAAATTCATTTTACTGGCCAGCATTAAACTCATATCAAAGCAAGATAAGGACACTTCAAGAAAGAAAATTACAGGCCAATATCCTCAATGAACATAGATGCAAAAACCCTCAGCAAATACTAGCAAACCAAATTCAGCAACGCATTAAAAGCATCTTACACCATGATCAAGCTAGATTTATCCTTGGGAATCAAAAGTGATTCAACATATACAAATCAATAAACATGATACACCACATTAACATATCATAAACCATACGATAGTCTCAATAGATGCAAAAAATTTGACAAAATTTAATATCCTTGAATGATTAAAAAAACCCTCAACAAATTGAGTGTAGAACTATACCTCAACATAAAAAAGGCTACATATGACAAACCCACAGCTAACATCATACCCAACAGTGAAAAGCTGAAAGTTTTTCCTTTAAGATCAGGAATAAGAAAAGGTTGCCCACTCTTATCACTTCTATTCAACATAGTACTGGAAGTGTCAGAGTAATTAGGCAAGAAAAAAAAAAAGGCATCCAAATCAGAAAGAACGAAGGTAAATTGTCTGTTTGCAGATGATATGATTTTATATTTAGAAAATCCTAAAGACTCCACCAAAAAAACTATTAGAATAAATAAATTCTGTAAAATTGCAAGATACAAAATCAATATACAAAAAGCAGTTACTTTTCTGTACACAATGAACTGTCTGAAAAAACTTAAGAAAGTAATTCCATTTATAATAGCATCAAAAACAATAAAATACTTAGGATAAATTTAACCAAGGAGGTGGAAGATCTATGTAGTGAAGACTATAAAACAGTGATGAAAGAAAGTGAACAAGACTCAAAATAAAAAGATAGGCCATGTTCATAGATTGGAAGAATTATATCATTAAAATGTCTATACTCCCCAATGACATCTATAGATTTAATGCAATCCCTATCAAAATCCCAATGGCATTTTCCACAGAAATAGAAAAAAATCCTAAAATTCAAATGTAACCACAAAAAACCCTGAATAGCCAAAGCAATCTTGAGCAAGAGCAAAACTGGAGTCATCACATGGTCTGATTTTAAACTATATTACAAAGCTATAGCAATCAAAACTGTATGGTGCTAGCATAAAACATTTGAACAGAATAAAGAGCCCAGAAATAAGCCCATGAGTATACAGTCAATGAATGTTTGACAAGGATGACAAGACTACACAATGGGAAAAGAATAGTATTTTCAATAAATGGTGTTGGGAAAACAATATCCACATTCAAAAGAATGAAATTGGGCCCTTACCTTACACCACACACAAAAATCAACTCAAAATGGATTAAAGACTTAAATGTAAGACCTGAATTTATAAAATTCTTAGAAGAAAACTAAGGGGTAAGCTTTTTTACATTGGTCTTGGTAATGATTTTTTGGATACAACACTAAAAGAACAGGCAACAAAAGCAAAAATAAACCAGTTGGACTATGTCAAACTAAAAAGCTTCTGCATGGTGAAAGAAACCAACAACAGAAAGAAAAAGCAACCTTTGGAATGAGAGAAA